AAGAAGAAGAAGCAGTATTATAAGAAACTGTGTATGGGTTTACATAGGGATGATTGTTAACTTATTGACTAAGAAAACAATGTAAAATACTGATGGCCATCGATATGTGTATCAAATAAAAACAACAAATATGTACGACATATCAATCAAAATGGTATAAATTTGGTGAAGTTTTCTTTTTTATACAGACAATTAATCGCACTTCAGCGAAGCATAACACGTATTCAAAATTTCCAAAAGGAGATCATTTTAGCGATAAAAAAATGTTTTCGAGTAAAATCGTAGCCCTATTTTTCATTCTTACAGTTTATTTGGTAAGATTCATGATTCGGATGGCATTTTTATTTCATTTCTACACTATTTTTATTCTATAAAACTTTTCACCTTTAAATAAAAACCTTGGAGTATTTCTCTGTTTTGGATTTCACGTTAAATATCGAGTGCACTGCATATATGATGTTTAGGCAACTCACGAATCGCCAAAGCAAGTGAAATGCTAAATCCACGCGTGTGCCGACAAGTCCGCTGCTTCATTGAGAAACGAAAAGTGATGTTTAAAGTTTTGCTTTTCAATAGCAATTTTCGTTCAATGAAGTTCGTTGATAAAGTAAAAGGTTAAAAATGGCGGCAAAGGAGAACCGGCAAAAAGATGATGATGAACTTTATTATCACAACATCAATTTTGTGGTTTGTCACAATCACACGCACACATTCACATGCATGAAACCATGGCGGGAGCAAAAGATAAAGTCCCATTTCCTTTAACGCAAACACGTCTCTTTTTAACACCGCATTGATTAGGAACGAACGAACAAAGGCTGAGCGACAAAAGAGAAGGCGAAGACGATGGAAAACGGAAGAAAAGATAAAAGAACAACACACATTAAACTAACATAATGACAGAGAACATCACTTTGGTGTCAGGGCAAAGTTTCTTCGATATACCTACATACAGAAAACAATGCATGCGCCACTGCTGAGCTACTGCTGCTGTATTTTCTTTCTAATCGAACACATAGATAAGACACAAATGTTTCGCAAAATTGTGCCATTGAATCTCTCGAAATGTGTTTTCTATAAAGTGCTAAAACTCGTGTTTTCTTTTGTGGTCGATGCCAAAGTTTACTTTTCCGCTTTTACCGAAACGTATTTTCGTTGCTCTTAACCAAAAATTGAATTCGGATCAATAGAATCATATCACACTTTCGATGTTCTCGACATTAAAAGCCACATTTATGTAGTGACTTTGCCGTGGCACCAGGAAGGTTGTCTATGATTTTACGATTCATTGAATCTGAGTTTTCAAGGAAATAAATCCTCTAGATGACTTTTTTATGTTTGAATGAAAAACCATTTTTCACATGCGAGACGCGAGTTGGTTGCATTCAAAAATACCGTTTTGAGTTGAACCAGATTTTATTCATTCAAAGATTGCCTACATTCGGGCGAAATGCAGTTCTGATTGATTGATTGGTTTACACATTCTTACAACTGTACAAACATTATGCTAAGAGAAAAAATCATGTCAACACTTTGATCAACGAGAGTTTAGGTCATTTTTTTTATTGTGCAGCAAAAAACTATATTCAAAAGCCGTGACGCAGAATATTTTTCCTTATTGTGAATGAATTTTTGCAATATAATGAATGTGAGATGTGGCTTTGAGAGGGAATGCCGCAATGGCGTCACATCAAATGATAGTAGTTCTTTTGTTTGTTAAATCCACATGAGCGTTACTTCATTTCAACCTCGTTCATATTATGTTTACAATGCAATGTGTCATTATAGATTAGAACACCCACCAATTATGATTGGTTCTAATCAGAATCATTAGAAATTAGAAGCATTTTTTTGAACATAGTGAATATTTTCATATAAAATATTCAAACAAATGAAAAAATACAACAAATTCAAAAACAAACTACTTCTACTTTGCGAGGGCCCACTGTATTACACTAAAATATTGAGCGCTGAGAATTTCGTGAGATTTTAGTCTGACGCAGACAGTTATCATTTCGATGACAAATTGGAATCATTTTGTAAAGGAAAGTGCAAACACATGAAACTCATTCTATTTTTTCATGGCAAAATAAATTGTCCAAATTTGAGTGCCTATGAGTTTAAAGAAACTATAAAAAAAATTCTGAATGGATTACTGCTTCTGACACACCCCATTATCTATCAGTTTAATGTATTTCCTATGTCATTAATAAAGTAAGTGCTAATTTCAAGAAATTGAGTCAAAATACATTTTGGCTTATAATATATAGAAGCCGTCGTGGGCAAGCAACAGTCGTTGTTTAGCCATTGTTCAGAGATTTTACTCTCGGTGATAGACGTGAAGAATAGGAAAGAAATTGATCTTTTAGTACTCATCACTTTCGTGAATCTTTTGAAATGAAGTAAATTTCTTTGAAAATTTCGATTCTGTCAATATCTTCAATTCCTTGTGTTAACCTAACAATATTAATCGAATTCTACCTCATTTTTATAAGATGAAACACCTCTAGACGAGGTTGAAATGAAGTGGTTTCTGTAGTTTGCGTGTTGAAAGCTGCATTATCTCTGGATACATTCAAATTTTTTAAGCATTTCAGTAATACAAGTTTAAATTGACAGATCCATACGAATGTTTTTTTTGTTGTGTCATATTTTGGATTTGGCATTTAAACTTACATCCATCGTTTTTTTGTACCAACACACCCAAGATTTTATTGAATAACAAAACACTTGCAAAATGTTCGTATAAATCTGTCAATAGACATGTACTGGAATACATAACAATACTTTTTGGTGTGTATGTACAACAAAAAATGACCGATCATGGTCACCAACATTTCGTCACAACTTCAACAAAATACTGTTCAGTGAATAACGAGCAGACAGTTTTCATTTTGTCATTCGTATAACAACAAACGAGCAGACAGTTTTCATTTTGTCATTCGTATAACAACAAACGAAGAGTTCCCCCGGATATATCATTGAACGTTTATTCAAGTTAGCGGAACGTTATTTTGTGGAAGTGCTTGCAATATCGCCGAGTGTAAAACTTCATCCCGATTTTCTGTAACAAAATATAAACTAATTGAAAATTGTTATGATCAAATAAAAGTTTGGTTTTTGTGTTTGTTTCACTGTGCTCAAAAGTGTTGGCAGGATGGCGGAAGAGAAGACAGAAGCAAACAAGAAAAATGAAACACTTTTCAAAGGAATGACTTTTGGCAAAAAGATTCAATACATTTACGATCGCATAACACTCGAACCCATGATCACTTGTATCTTCCTACCGAGTATGCTGTTAGAGTTGAGTGTACAAAATTTGAATTTGGAAAAAGCGTGTCGTGTGAATTTAAACTATAATCAAACGGTTTGTGATGCGCTTCGTGTACGGGATACAGCACATTATGCCAACGAAGAAGAGGCGGTTCAAAAACTCGTCGCTCAAATGACGGGATGGAAAATGGCGATAAATAGTGCATTACCATGCTTACTAATTCTTTTCTTCGGATCTTGGAGTGATCGACATGGGAAGAGAAAACCGTGCATCTTAATTCCATTATTCGGAGACATATTGATGGCATTTTCACTGCTATTTTGTGTTTATTTCGATAAAACGCCCATTGAATTAGCACTTTTCGTGCAAGTTTTCTTTACGGCTATAACAGGTATTCGGAGTTTTTGAATGGAACTGGATTGAATGGAAGGTTCTTAGATTCGTTTTCCTCTTGCAGGCAGCGATTCTACAATGTTGGTGGGCATTTTCAGTTACATGGCCGATATCACTAACGAAAAAGAACGAACTTTTCGCATTGGAATCATCAGTTTGGTCTATTCCGTGAGTGTTCCCTTCGGAATGGCATTCAGCGGAATTTTGCTCGAGTAAAATAAAAATAAAAAAATTTTTATTGTATATTTGTAAATATCGACATTCTTTCTATGTATTTTCTCATCTTTTCTTTCATCCTTTCCTACGTTCTCATTTATCTTTGCACAACGAAAAATGACCGAAATTTTTCAGGAGAATTGGATTCTATGGCGTGTTTTCAATGGCTGGTGCTTCGTACACAATTTCCATGCTTTATGGCATCTTTGTATTGAAAGAAGTTCCGCCAAAGGAAAAGAACGTGCAGCTCATCAAGAAATCATTTTTGGCCGATTTCTTCGATTTTGGCCATATCAAAGAGACATTTCTGGTGGCATTCAAAGCGCGCGATAAAAATCGTCGCACGAAAATTTTGGCATTAATGGCAATTATTATAATTGTTGTTGGGCCACTATATGGTAATTTTCTGATACTGATAAAAATTCATTGAAATTAAACTCATTATGCATATACAGATGGTTATTTGGTACAATGATTTGAATATTTTTGTTTTTGCTTTCATTTTGCACGTCTTTTCTTAGGTGAAATGCCGTTATTTTACTTGTTTACGCGTTACAAGTTCAACTGGAGCGAGGTGGAGTTTAGTTTTTTTTCGACATATAACATGGGCTTAAATTTGATTGGAACTGGTTTTGTCGTCAGCGTATTGTCGAGCATGTTCAAAATGGATGATTCGTTAATCGGTTCGATGGCTAGTATTTCGAAAGTCCCATCGAGTTTGGTGTATGCATTTGCACAAGTTGAATGGCACATGTACATCGGGCCGATAGCTGAGATAATCAGTGGTGCTTCATTCATTGCAATGCGTTCGTTGGCGTCGAAAATGGTGTCAAGCAATGAACTAGGAAAGGTTAACTCACTCTTTGGAATTATTGAATCGATTGCACCGCTGATTTATTCGCCTCCTTTGGCTGCCATTTATTCGGCCACTCTAACAAAAATGCCGGGAGCATTCTTCTTAGTCGGTGGAATTATGTCCATCCCTGGCTCGTTGCTATTTCTGTACGTATACATATTCAAATGACCACATAAAAATACTAATTTTAATGGACTCTCTAAGAATAGCATAGTTGCCGTTGAAAAACTTGATAAAAATTTCTCGTGCAAAACCTAGCTAAAAATATAAATTGAAGTGCATTTTTCGCTGAAATATGAATGCAACTCACGGTTTTTCCACTTGTTCTTTCTTCCTTTCAGATGGATTTACATGATAAATCGGCCCGAGGCAAAGGAGAAAGAAACGACCGACACACCAGCTGACGTACAGAAATCGGCCGATGAACAACAGTACGAGATGTATTTACAAAATGAGGGCCTCTTTGTGATATCTAATATGAAAGGCTTGTAAACATAGCGCCATTGTGATAAAGAATTAGTGTGAAGTGTGATACAAAGCGGTGATGTGTATAATAATGTGCAGATACAACGATTACTATTGAGCTGTGCCCTTCAAATATTTTGTCTTAAGTTATTTCTCAGTTAATGAATATTACATGATACCTTGATATCAAAAACAAATATCATATTTTTTGGTTTTGGACATTCTAAGCTTTTGTTTCGTTCTATAGTTTATAATCCCATCCATATCATTGAAGATACTATATATACTGGAAAGTACCATTAAAATCGTACTAGATATAGCCAGTTAGGATACACAAAGTGGCACATGTCATTATCATAATAAAAAAAAAACAATATTTATTACTAAGCAACAATATTTTAAGACAAAAAAAAAAAACGGGCGTCAATCAAAAAGCGATGAACGTTAAAAATCGTTTATACAACAAAAAATAGATTCATTTTTCACGATCTGTTCGAAACATGTCCAATTCTTATTTAATGGCAATAAAATGTTTATCCTTCTATGAAAAAACCTACTTGAACACTCCTTCATTCGTTTAAATGTTCGATTCCAAAATTATTTATTATTCTTATTATTTTTATTTACCAGTCAACCTGAAGATCCGAAGGTTCTCATCGGTGGGAGCAAAACCAATGTGAGCACAAAACTGAGATGGCTATCTAGAATTTATGCGAGAGCAAAAATGGTTCCACTTGTATACCATATTTTGCAAGAGTTTATTCTATCGTAATTTTCATTCTAGCAAAATGCAATTCTTATCGATTGTGTTGCTCATTATTATCTGTAATCACAAGGTGACGGTTGGAGCGTAGTGACATTTAGTTTTTAAAACTGCATGTGTGTGTGTGTACATTGTATCATACTATTATACGATTAGATCAAAATATGGTTACGCATGGATGAGCTTGAAAAACACCTTTGTTCGCTCAGAATCTTTTGTGACAGAGTAAACAAACGCTTGATGTTTGCTTATTATTATTTTCACCGAAAAAAACAGAAAATTGATAAGACAATGTAAACAGGAGTTCGTGCAAGCAGTATTTCGTGTTCTGCTAGACTCGAGTTCTATCTCATTTTCTGTACTTGTAGCATTAAAAACGATCTTATTTCTCGAATATTTTTATATGAACCGAAGTATATTAATAACTAATAACCAACGATGACTCGACAAAGTTGAGTGGAAAAATTTCGAGTACAATTTAATAAGTGAGCGTAAGTTCCTCTTTTGGGCTCACACACTCAATTCAACAAAACAGATGTGTATATTGTTTATTGTTTCAGATGTTAAAAGAGAGAAGAGAAATGCGGTTCAAAATGACAGGTAGGGAAAAAAGAAATGGCTCAAAAATGCAGCAAACTACGCATGTGTGATATTGAATAAAATCGAACGATGTGTGGTTCCAGTACGGAATGCGTGTCGATCGCGGTTGCGTGCAAACGAGTTATCGCTTATGCGTTTTTACATTTGCGTAGCCCGCATTGATTACAAGGCAATACCTGGTAAAATACCGTTCTCTTTCACAATTGTACGCGTCTGAGAGCGAGAGAGATCGAAGCAAAATACGATTTAAAAGAAAAAAAAAATGTGTGGACGTTTCACGCGAATCGTTCGATTGATTCGACTCGGTTTGTTATCCATTTACAAAAAGTGCATTTTACACGAGTGAGTAGTATTAGCATTTTTATTTATTTCAATTATGCTGTTGTATCGGTGTGCGCCACGAATTTATTATTACATAATCATCATCATTTTATTGCTGCAATCGATGTGATGCTGAAACTACGTTTCACACGATTAACATTTACAATTGTATATTCGTCGACCAGATATTCCATCTCAGGTCGTTATTGTTGTTGTTGTTCGCTATTTTTGTACGCTTGTTGTGTGTTTATCATTTGCGTCTGGTTAATCAATACACACAAACCTACGTATCTTCGTGTTATACACGTGTGATACCGTACATTGTATCTGTATTTTTTGCACTGTGACTGTGACGGTGTGCTGTGTACCGTCGAGCATTGTGTAGTCGCTACTGAATTTTGTTTGGAAACAGATGCTCAACGATAAACAAAATAATCTTCCGTAAACGGTTTCAGCATTGAAAACGATATAAGTACTACAACAATAACGCTGACCGATCATGTACAACAGCATTTCGTCAAAACTTCAATTGAATACTGTTTAGTGAATAACGAGCAGTCAGTTATTATTTTGCGTATCGTTTGGATGACAACAGATCAGAGAGAACGAGAGAGTTTACCCGGAATATATAGATATCATTGAACGCTGATTAAAGCTAGCGCATAGTTATTCTGTGGAAGTACATGAAGTATCACCAAGTGTAACACATATACTTTGTTCAACTCCGAATTTCGGTTACAAAATGTAAATTGTTATCATTTGTTTTTTATATTTAGAAATTGAAGTGAAAGGAAGTGAAAGCTCGAAATAAATACAAAAAAAAAAATATTCATAAAGACGGCATTGATGAACAAAGGGCATTTGTTGAAAAGTGCTTTATTTGCATATGAAGAGGGAAATTAAATTCGATTGTATAAATGTCGTTGAATTCCAGTTCAATATAAACATAAATTTATTGTGACTTTGCCAAATCTGATGACGAGATCATCAATCTAATCAGCGATTTTATGAAAACTTGTTTGAATTTTAGATTGAACAATGCAAATTTGGCTTTGAGAATCTATCACGTTTTATCCAAGTGATGCGTCTCTAAAAATGATTAGATTATGCGATTCCTATTGCTATGAGGCACCTATTGCTAGTCTCATCATTTATTCGATATTATTCAAAAGTATGACGCCGTTTGGAGTTTGGCGCAGTTTTGGAAACGAAAAAAAATTATGATGCAAAGTAAATTGAGTGTAAACTGGTCAGGAAAGTGTGTTCATGTGATCCGATAATTAGAGCTATTAGGCAGAGGTCATATTCCAAGAAAATCGCACATAATACTGTGGCCGATTATCAAAAGTGCAAACAAAAATGACAATTCTCGCCAGCCAAACTCATGTAACAACTAGCTAAAAACAATGAATGACAAAAACCGAACTTGCCTATTCATTGTTTTCTGCTCTGATTTTCAATGTAAACACAAACAAAAACAGCAACTCACAAAAAACGCGAAGATGTGTGCGAACAACAAAATCCAAAACGCTAATAACCTGTCAGCGAAGCGAAGTATTCATGTGTTTAGAATGTTAGAAAGTTTATTTGCTCGACATTCGCAGCATCTTCTATTTTGAAAAAGCATAAACATGTCGGAAAGTCTGAATTCCCAACGATCATACGATGCTAATAGAAAGATTAACCAGACTATTCCACATTCGCGACGCTCTCAATTATTTCCGTCAGCTCATTGTATCTGTAAATTGATAGATTCGCCGTCAATTATCTATTTAATTTGGGGAATTTTTTGCCATGTTGTTTGTTGCTGTTTGTTGTGTGTGTTCGGGCTCATTGTTAGAATCTACATTTTTTTTTCGTTTGCAATTTGCCCACGATAGTCTTGTTGAATTGTTCACGATACGGAATTTGTAATTGAAATTGAATTCCTGTATAAATTTTCAAGAATTTGAAAATGTTAAGCGAATGCACGCTTTTCAACTCGCTATTTATTTTGAAATTCTTTCCACCTGAACTCGATCGAAACCGTTAAGTCATCGCGTGTCGTTGCTATTCGATAATCTTTAGTTTGAAACAAAGGCTAAACACAGGTTTTGCCCCGCATCGAAGACAGAAAAAAACCACAGTGATAATAAAACTCTATTGCAAATATCATTCTTGAAATATCAATCAAACACGTGTGTGACCTATCCTTGCGCAGCAGCGAACAAAATTCCATAAATTTTCGCATCTAGTAAATCAAGTCATTTTATGCAATATTTTTTATTCAGTCGTTTTAAATAAATAAAACGCAGCAGGTAAAATATGTTCTACCTAATTAAATGGTGATTCGTGTCTTTGTGCCCGAGCAATGAATTGTGATACGACAATACAACAATGGAATACAAACATATAGTTTATTATTCCAGTGAGCAATTTATTTTCGCACTGCGGTAAGGGGTTTACTTCATCACAAGTAAATAAAAGTTGGTTGCTAAAACTCCGACCGTTGGTTATTGAAACTCAAACGATTTCAACCGTTCAAATATTTAATCAAGCTGTGTGAACGTCAAGGTGAATGAGATTTAAATCTATTAATACGTGCTCTACCGATATATTAACTATGATCGATTCTTGAATGTGAAAATATGGTTTGCATTGAATGTATGTATATACATGCCCTTTGCTACGAAGTCACAGTTCGTTTGCCTCGTATTATCACTTTGTGATGCTAGACTAGGTTGTTTATCAAGGACAGTGTCTCGGTTCGATTATGGCACCAAACGTGACTTTTTTTCGGTATGAATTGTGCAGAAGTACAACAAACAATTCTGTAAACAATTACGTGTTCGCAAATGACTACAGATTGTTTGACATTGTCAAACAAAAGCAAATAGAACACACTTTGATTTGATAAGAAATGGAAAATAACAACCAAACAATTGTTGTAAATAATCAAAGAATCAAAGCCCCTTCGCAAAAATTACACGTTGCATTTATCTCAGATGTTCAATCATGCAATATTTTTTGCAATATCGTTCTGTATTGTATTGAAAAATTCAGAAAATTAAAAAGTTATTAATTTAATGTCTGCCATGATTATGATCGAAATAAGTGACAAGCAGTAATATTCAGTGGTAGTTTCTCTGCCTCTCTCTTTCTCTCTGTGTTCACTGGATTTTTCCTGATGCATACAATAAAACGGAGATACAATGGAATTATCGCAAAAATGCCATTAAAATGATGCACTACAGCATTTTAATTGATTAAATCTGTTTCATTCATTTGATGTGCGAATAATTTTTGGTTTTGGTGTTTTTTTTTTCTACTCAAAAGTGTCGACAGGATGGTGGAACAGAAGACAGAAACAAATAAGAAAAATGAAACACTTTTCAAAGAGATGACTTTTGGCAAAAAGATTCAATACATTTACGATCATATAACACTCGAGCCGATGGTCGCATGTTTTGTGCTACCAAGTATGCTGTTAATGTTGGGTGTGCAGAATTTGAATTTGGAAAAAGCGTGTCGTGTGAATTTAAACTATAATCAAACGGTTTGTGATGCGCTTCGTGTACGGGATACAGCACATTATGCCGATGAAGAGGTGGCTATTCAAAAACTTGTCGCTACAATGACGGGATGGAAAATGGCGATAAACAGTGCGGTTCCGTGCTTACTGATTCTATTCTTTGGATCTTGGAGTGACCGACATGGAAAACGAAAACCGTGTATCTTAATTCCACTATGCGGACAAATAATGATGGCATTCTCACTACTGTTGTGTGTTTATTTCGACAAAACACCCATTGAAGTAGCGATTTTCGTAGAAGTTTTCTTTCCCTGCATAACAGGTATGATATTTAATGAGATTGAATTCAATTCTCAGGGGTTTCCATAAGATTAGTTTTCCATTCCAGGAAGCCATTTCACAATGATGGTGGGCATTTTCAGTTACATGGCCGATATCACAAAGGAAAAGGAACGAACTGTTCGTATCGGAATCATTAGTTTAGTCTATTCTGTTGGTGTTCCTTTTGGAATGGCATTCAGCGGAATTTTGCTCAAGTAAATTGTCAAGTTTTCTTAAAGTTTTTTTTTTTTTGGGTTGTTGAATACTTTTCATACCTAGATTTGCGCATTTCACTCTCACTTTTCTCACCTTTTTTATTCTTCTTTTCTTCCTTATGTTCCATCTCTACTTTTGATACTCTCTTTGCAACAAAAAAATGACCAAATTTTTTCAGGAGAGTTGGATTCTACGGCGTATTCTCAATGGCTGGTACTTTGTACACAACAGCATTGCTTTATGGCCTTTTTGTATTGAAAGAAGTTCCGCCAAAAGAAATGAACGAGCAGCTCATCAAGAAATCATTTTTGGCCGATTTCTTCGATTTTGGCCATATCAAAGAGACATTTCTGGTGGCATTCAAAGCACGTGTTAAAAACCGTCGCATGAAAATTTTGGCATTAATGGCTGTTGTTATAATCGTTGTTGGACCACAACATGGTAATTTTCTGATATTTATACAAATAGAATCAAATTAAATTCAATATATATGTGATTCACACGATGTGAATCACTGGGAATAAATGCCAAACTTTTTCGCAGTAGTTCTAAAAGTGGAATTTGAATTCGTTCACCAAAAAAGTACTTGAATCTAATTTCGGCTTATGAAACCAAAATTTGACCGTATAAAGTGTTGTGTTAGTAGCCTTTTTGTGTTCGATAAATTTTCCGCCTTTGCGAATATTTACATAAAGTCTGCGATTTATTCTCACCGATATCACGCATATGTGTTCAATACATTGTGTTGCCGAGAATGAAAATGGGGATACAGAAGTGTTTGAACCGAAGCGAATTATGAATTTTTCTTCTTAAGAACGGTACATAAGAGATAACGAAGTGTTATCTTCAACAAAGTTATAGATTGGTCAAGTTCTAAAACTTTGCTTAACACACTAACCCATTATCTCTAGTAATAATTGGTGCGAAAAACACAAAATACTACATTCAAAATTCACATTTTCCATGTTACACTTCTACTATTGAAGCGACGATTCATGTAAGGTTTTCAAGAAACAAATTTCAGGTTGTGCTCCAGCTCAAACACTTCTGTATTCCCATTTTTGTTATCAACAACACATATAGATGGATAATTGGTCAGGTATTTTTTTGGATATTTTGAATTGGACCACGCATTTATCTCAATTATCCTAACAATTTTGTTGTTCATATTTTGTTTTCGTTTTCGGGTTGAACGTGTTTTTTTTTCTAGGTGAAATGTCATTATTCTACTTGTTTACGCGTTACAAGTTCAACTGGAGCGAGGTGGAGTTTAGTTTTTTTTCGACATATAACATGGGCATACATTTGATTGGAACTGGTTTTGCCGTAAGCGTCTTGTCGAGTATGTTCAAAGTGGATGATGCGTTAATCGGTTCGATGGCTAGTTTTTCGAAAATCCTATCGAGTTTTGTGTATGCATTTTCGCAAGTTGAATGGCACATGTTCATCGGGCCGGTTGCTGAGATAATCGGCGGTGCTGCATTCATTGCAATGCGTTCATTGGCGTCAAAAATTGTGTCAAGCAATGAACTAGGAAAGATTAACTCACTCTTTGGAATTGTTGAATCGATTGCACCGCTGATTTATTCTCCTGTTTTGGCCGCCATTTATTCAGCCACCTTAACGAAAATGCCGGGAGCATTCTTCTTAGTTGGCGGAATTATGACCATCCCTGGAGTTATGCTTTTTATGTACGTATATATATTGAAATGACGAGACACATTTTATTTATGTGGACTCGAACCGATTAGAATCATATTTCCATTGTAAATACGGATGACGAAAAGGGTTTTTCCACGTTTTATGACCACACAATATTAGACTTTATGGCATTTTAAAGACCACACAACAATACTCATTTTAATGGTTCTCTAAAAAATATCGTAAGAGTAAAGAAACTTCTAGCTAAAAATAGAAATTGAACAGTATTGTTTGATCAAATTTGAATGAAACTCACGGTAATTCCACGTTTAATTTCGTTTCAGATGGATTTATACGATAAATCGAGCTGAGGCAAAAGAGAAAACAGCTGCCGATAATACACCAGTTGATGTACAGAAAGCGGTCGAGGAAAAACAGTGCGAGATGTATTTACAAAATGAGGGCCTGTCTGTGATATCCGACATTAAAGGCTTGTAGACATAGATACGTGGTGATACAATTCGTGTGATACAAAGCGGTGATGCGTTACTGATGTATAATGTTTTGCAGATACAACGATTACTATTGAGTTGTGCCCTTCAAGTATACCTTTTTAAGTTATTTCTCAGTTAATCAATATTATCTATATCTTACTTGTTATGTTAGGTCATTTGAATCGTAATGATTCACAATGAATTCCGTTTATCCGACATTTGTCATATTTTTACTAGAACAGATAAATTAGTATTTTTTTGCTCTTTTAACGTGTAACTTCTTTTTTTAATGTAATTTTCTAAGAGGTTTAAGCTGAATCATCACAACAAAAAAATGTTAGCCTATTAGGCAATGTTAGCTAATGAAAATGATGCTTGAAAAACAAAAGAATTCCGGAAAATCATGAGATAAATTGCAGAAAAGTTGAGAAAAAGAAAAAAAAAATTATGAAAAATGCCGGGTTCAAAAAACCGACTATGATGTTGGTGAGATTTTGTTGGTTGCGATTGTACGATTGAGGCATTTGAAATAGAATCTGGGACAATAAACAGATATTTTGCGGTTAATTATCACACCATCGCATCTCCATAAGACCATTTGTCAAAGGGTAGAACATTGTGTGGGATTGGAATGAACACAATACACTTTCTCATAAAGGAAAATATTCAATTTCTTGACGTCATGCAATATACTTGCATGAATAAAATACTGCGTTTTAATAAAAGAATGGGAAAATGATGTGGCGTAGCATGGCATGGCATGGTAGTGTGTTGGAAAAGTTCTTATCGCTCACCTCGCTCTCGTCGTTAACGGTGAATGCTTATCTTAATGTTGGGGTTGGTTCGCTCATATGTTGTTTTGATAACCGCAGCAACCTCAAGATGGGAACCGCATTCTCTTCACCATAATTATCAATAATGCACACAGCTCATTTTAATACAACACTTCGTTTCGGTCGAACAAATATTTGATTCGACACGAAACTTTTTTCAGATGAATTTTGTGCACGTCCAAATAGAACGCAAGCAAACGGTGGGAAGAAGGCAGTCGAGAAAGGGCGATATCTCATTTGAAATCTCGATTGAACTAGTTGCCGAAAATAAGCAATGTGCAAAATACTGTGTCTCATTCTAAAATTGGATATTGATTTTGCTGCGGGCAATGACGAACATTGCTCGGATTTTCTCTTTCTAAAACGAACAAATTTCGAGATTTCACCGTTATTTTGTTGCTGTTGATGTCAGTGCATTCTTTTTTCATGTACTTCATATCTATTGAATGTGGTTTGAGTGCTTGGAAACGGATTTTCATTGACAAAAGCCGGATTTTCACAGCGTTTTTATATTTCCGAAAGCAGTAAAAAGCAATACCTTGTTAAATTGGAGGAAAACTCTCTTGAGGTTTTTTTTTTCCTCGCTCTTGCTCTTTGAAAAGAAAGAGAATGAAATTTCGTAATAGCCTTCATTGAGATAGGAGGGCGCACCACTGAAAAGTTGCATCGTTTGATATGATAAAGTAAAAGAATCACGTGTTGTGAAAATCCCCCAAAAATTATTATTATTAGAGGAAAGAAAAGCATACGCCAATATTGGAATTCAAGCTAAGTTCGCACGCGATGTGATTGGAATGCGCTGCCATTGAAAGCCAAAGGAGCCGCATTAATAGACCAAAAGTTAATAACGATGTTTTGTCGGAATTCGCATTGTGAAAATTGATAGCACCACATAAATGCTGATGATTCTTCGATGTAGGCCACAAAACTTATACGTAGAACCGAGAAAAAAAAACTCGATATTGAGCCGTATTTATTTGAATGATTCAATGTCAATTTCATTGTGTTGACAATCTAATCGAATATGTTTCCAATCGAAAGACGAGTATTAAAGTTTAGGCAATTTTAGTTGAAAGTTTTTCTTCCATATTTCAAACGCTTTTTTTGCGTTTGTATTCAGCAAATGCAACCAAAAAGGAATTATAGGATTTTCTTATATAGATTCGGCTTTGATATTTCAAACGATTATATGTGTGCTGGCATAACGCGTTTCCCCATAGGCTCATTGGTTTGGTGGCATGCTTTGAACGTGCCATCAAATTGACATCGTGATTCGAAAAACTTATGCTCGATTAAAAGAAATTCCACATTCTATATGCAGCGACGCACAATGAGCACACAAGTTCGACAGTTCAATTGAATTCAACCAGCATATTTGCTAGACTTCGATGGCGGCTGACCTACTTTTCATGGAAAAAAAATTTGATAAAGCTGTTTGACGACGATCTTTTTCTTCGGAGTATCGTAATGTTTCCATGGTAGAAATCGTTTATTAAAGTTGATAATATCAAGTTTGATGCTTTTGAAAATTGGTTCGATGTTTAGTTCGATAGAGTAACAGTTTAAAAGAAATGTTTATTCTAACTCAGGGTATCAATTGAAAGGCTATATAATTTCTTTCTGTTTGAACATTTTAAGATATGTTGTGCTTGGTTGATTTCCGATTAGTTCCATCAAATGAAGGAGTTTGTGTTATGCAACATTAGCTTTAACGTGAGTTGAAAAAAAAAAAAACTTTATCAAGAACATGTATAAGTCAACTTAAACTATGAACAGCTGTCAATTGGTTGAATAAAAACTACACATTCGTGGCACTCGAACTTTTCTAGTCTTATTTCGCCTGCATTATTATTATCACTCTAATGCTCTTCTATTGCATTTTATCTATACAATGGTCGAATCCAATTAAAAATGTATAATTATTTCATTGAAACTGTGCAAATTCACTTGAACGGAGAAAACGGACTGTAATCGTTTGGAGTAGACGAAGAGTCTCTCCTTTGGAAAACTAATTCCAAACAATTTGGTCCATATGATAGGGGGACACTGAGTCAATTATCTAATGTAAATGTATTTATCATTGTTCTGACCGAACCATTTGTACAAATTAAATTTTCTATGAGTATAAGCAGATTTGCTTCGAAGATCTGTTCGGACAATTACCTGTACAGGAAAATTTACTCATTTCAAAAATTTCGAACTGTAAAATTAATTGTTCATAAATCGAGTTGATGTTCAACAACGAAAAATCACCAAAATTAGAATATATCACCATAATTTTGATAATTTTTGTTCATGTTTTCCAATTGCGTACACTATTTTCCGCATTCCGGATGGAAAATCCAAGAAAAGACATCTGATTCATTTATTTTCCTCATCCTCACCGTTAAAAGATTTCATGCAATATTCCCATCAATTACCGATGAGAAAATATCAAGTCAATGTGAACCGAATTCATGCATAAATTCCATCTTAATCCATAAGTTTGAGCATGATAGCTGAGAGTGGTGCATACTTCGAACAGTATATATGAGTGTATATGAAGCCCAGATTAAATAAATAATTCAACGGAGAGTGTTTCGCTAAGTTTTCGTTCCGTCGAGCTTTTCTTGTGCTTCTTGGTCTCCATCACGGTGATATATTCAAACGATGAGCAATGCCATTGAAATGGCTAGAGCGATGTGTGCAACTGCTGCCCCACACATAGCAACACGTTTGATTTAATAACTTCAATAAACAAACCATAATATTGGCAAAACTAGCACTTCGTTGCTGAATTAATTATTTACGAAGTGTTTTCAAAGCATTTGATATTTTCGTGTTCAAACATTAAACTAAAACCGAAGATAATCCAATCGCTCTGCCAAAATGCTTGCTCTTCCGAGACTTTCAGTATGGCAATGGATTTCATGTGCTGTCAATATTTCTTTGTTAGAAGTCATCGTTGAGCTAAGACATCTTTTCACTGGAACACGTTTTTCGCATAAATGAACGGTAAACACGCATCATAAGCAATCGAGCCCGGAAAATTATAGGTGTACCTGTGACACGATGGCTGTACACACTGAAGACGAACTTAATGACTTTTAAAGCAACTCATTAAACTCATTTTGATGTGGATGTGAGTGTGTTTTTGAAATGAATTCGCAAAACTGCGACTATAAATGTCATTTCATAGTTAAAATTATGTGTGATAATTAATTACACACAGCTCGAGTCCAAGGCCAGTCAACAAACTTTGTAACACTTAAAATGGCAAGACGCAATTCGTAGAAGGAAATTATTACCTTCACAACCGTTTTATGCGTTGTCACACTAATTTCAACGTGTTACTCATGAATTCATGGGAACGACGAATTCAACCTACGAATAAGGAAATGAATATCGATTAGAACAGATGAGAGAAAAGCAGTAAAAATGTCATAATCGAAGCTTGTTACTTTTCTGAGATGAGCGTTTAAAACTAAAATCTCCGCTTGAATTTCACTCGAACAATAAAAAATGTATCAATAACCTAGAAAAATCATGGGATAATTACAACATTCATAACTTCTCTGAAGATGTTAACACTCAAATTTGCGGTCAAATGCACAATAGAAGAGCAATAACAATTTATCATTTGCATCGGCAATTGTATTCTCGGCCAGTCCCTTCTAAACGCCCCTAGATTTACTACCGTTTTGACATCAACACAAAGTTTCACTCATTTTCCCCTCATCAACTGAAAATCAACTCAAATCGTTTTTCACTACCTTATTGCTCATCTCTACTCCGATCCAATACTGCTCATTTTTACAACGACAATTCGATAATACTAATGTTTATGTTTAGACTCTTGGAATGAAATTCATATCATGTTCAATATATATTCCCAATCAGCCAAAATATTCAAAGAATCCAAATGTTTTCTATCGAGTAAACCAATCTTTTTTGTCGTTACTTTTGTTTCCGCTTTTAACGCCGTACATATTAATTACCCGAGTTCCATTTTTCTATTAATTCGTTCCATAAACACTTGACTTGGAGTCAAGCCATTCAATTCTTAATGCTTAAATGATTCATTGGATTTTTACGAGGTTATAAGTAAATACACGGAATGTCTGATGAATCGTTCATTCACTTTCGATATCCATTTGTCACATACAATAAACGTTATGGTATAAATTATCTTCCTATTTGTTTCATTAAATCACCTTCACTTATTATTGAATTCAGTCGAAAAAAAAGGCAGTCGAAACAAAGGCATTTTATTCGATTTAATTACTGATGTCGTGCATCGGAAATAACATTAAGGTCTTGAAAAAAATAGGTCAAGCCAGAAAAATTACATGAAAATTGAAAGAAAGTAAGCAATTTTGTACTCCATTCCAAGTAAATTCGAGCAATCTTTGTTTACCGCCAATTTGCGATTTTATTGGTGGGAAAATGCTTTTCTTTAATCGAATTTCGGAACAAATTTCACTTTACAAAATACCTGAGCCTAAAAATCAATGAAATAATATGTTGTGTGGATTACCCAAATAAAAGGTTCCTATTGATTTGTTCGTCCGTATGCGAACGGTGCAGTGCGACTGCTTCTTCTTCTTAACTAACACATCTATACATATAAGTCGCCATATTGGTTATAATGTTCACAAATGGCACGCAATACACTGTATACATTTTCAATATGGTCGCGCCCATTGTGTACGACAGTGTGAAGAAGAAGAAGCAGTATTATAAGAAACTGTGTATGGGTTTACATAGGGATGGATTTGTTGTTGAACGAAAAAAAAACTTGATAAAAAACCATGCTCGGATATATTTTATTCGATGACACAATAAAAAATATCCAATTTCTACGATTCTTTATGGCATTTTTGCGGTTAGCCAGAAGGTAAACCGTTTCAATTGATTCGTTTTTAGCGTAAAATCCACACCATGCTACGGTAATTACTCATTCAATGGAACAATATGTTCTTTCTTCAGTATACTAGTGCTTGGTGTAGCATTGATTGGTGACATTCCACTGTACGAAAAGATAGTAAACGTGACGGAATATCTGTTAATTGTATTATATCCGAGGGGAGGCATTGGTGGCCAATCGAAATGTTGTACTTAATTAATTGAATTATCATCGTATTGATGTCTGCATTTTAATTTAATCGTCAATGCACAGCACACACACACACACTCCACAGCTCACAGATACGCTTGATGTTATTTATTCAACATGTATGCGGCACATTCAAGTTTCATTGCCCGGATAATTTATGAGGGTAAGCTGAACTGAAATACCTGAAAAACATCGGGCTAAATCTATAATGCAAGTCAAGCATGTTCTATTTTGGCGTTTGGCAAATCCAATTAAATGTTTCATTTGTGATTGACATCGGAACGTATAAAAGGAGCGTTTCAATTACAATTTCAACTGATTTCGCATAGTTTGATGGCGATGTGAGTCGCAAGAGCACAGCCATCCATCCAAATTGATTAAACTTTAATTTTACCATCTTTTTTTTCTCGTTCGGTTGCAAGTTGGAAAAAATAGATGTTTCTGTTTTTGTGATGGTAGCAAATTATTCAAATTCTAAATTATTTTCAGTTGTTGCTGTGAAAAAGTGTGAAATATTAACGTGAGCAAAAAAAAAAACATGGTAACTAACGTGGATTTAAATGAAAATCTCACAGCCATACGACCAGAAGCGAGGTAAGGTGTTGAGAATGAGAGAATGAAAGAAAAATGTGATACAATAAAAAAACGAATCGAATTCTCAAAGGGTCGGTGAGCCAGCTGTTAAGTTACTTGGTTGGAATGTGCCGCCTGACCAATTATCAACAATTCCAGAGCATTGGCTATCGCAACCCGAACCAAACGCTTCGGTCCACTATTTACTTGGAACGCTATATATCGCGTTCTTTTTTGTTGCAATCATCGGTAATGGCCTGGTGTTATGGATTTTCACATCGTACGTATCTATCACCGATGTTTCATGCATTTGAATTCAATCGATCAATTGGGCTTTTCACTTTCTCCTACTTTCATTTTGTTGCTACCTCCAGGGCAAGATCACTACGCACGCCATCGAATGTGTTTGTTGTGAATTTGGCATTTTGTGATTTTGTGATGATGTTGAAAACGCCAATATTTATCTACAATTCTTTTAACCATGGATACGCACTAGGTCCGAGTGGATGCCAAGTATTCTCGTTGATGGGCGCGTTTTCGGGCATTGGAGCTGCGATTACGAATGCATGCATCGCATACGACAGGTTACTTAATTCCGAAAAACAGAGCATTGAAGTTGCTGGCTATGTAGTGCTGCTGGTGAACAGATCTGTTTATTGGTTGCGTGCATATTCGCTGTGACGCGCGTTCATTCATCTCCCGATTCTCACACACAGTGTTTGTCTCTTGCATTCACACGGAAAGAGAAAGAAATGTACATACAACACACGAGATACATCGTAAGCGACGCGTGCGTGCATGCACACAGATAGCTGCCGTTCGTGTCTCGTGTGTTTTATACGCTTCTCTTTCGGTTTCTGTGTGAATGCAAGAGACAAACACTGCGAATTTCGTCAAGTGTACCAACAAACGTCAAAGCAGAATTCAAATTCAACGGTTTTCAAATCAAACACTATGCAATCGAATGTTTCCAATGTTTGTGTTTTCTTTAATCAAAGGAGAAAAAGAACAAACCAATTAATGCTCAATTTGTTTTCTTTGTGTTCTGTTTTTATTTGTCTCATTCTTCATTTTTACATCGCACTGTCGTTTTTAAATTAAACGATAAAATGTGCTCATGATTTTCATAAAAATAAATACTTCATTTGTTTACAATGTGCGATGAAAAAAATGAAAAATGAGACAAATAAAAACAGAACACAAAAAAATAAATTTAACATTCACCATTTTTGTTCTTTTTCTCCATTGCACTTGTTTCAAAATACACAAACATTGGAAACATTCGATTGCATAGTGTTTGATTTAAAAACCGTTGAATTTGAATTCTGCTTTGACGTTTGTTGGTACACTTGACGAAATTCGCAGTGTTTGTCTCTTGCATTCACACAGAAACCGAAAGAGAAGCGTATAAAACACACGAGACACGAACGGCAGCTATCTGTGTGCATGCACGCACGCGTCGCTTACGATGTATCTCGTGTGTTGTATGTACTTTTCTTTCTCTTTCCGTGTGAATGCAAGAGACAAACACTGTGTGTGAGAATCGGGAGATGAACGAACGCGCGTCACAGCGAATATGCACGCAACCAATAGCTGCTGTTAAACCGATCTGTTCACCAGCAGCACTACATAGCCAGCAACTTCAATGCTCTGCCGAAAAATGCAATAATTGTTGACACAGCATAAATTCATGAGCACGAATATCCAAATTAAATCTCCAATCTATTGCAGATATCATGTCATATCCAATCCCATGGAGCGAAAATTAACGATGACAAAGGCTATTTTCATTGTGATGCTCATTTGGTGTTACACCATTCCATGGTCGATTTTCCCTTATTTAAAGATCTGGGGCCGATTCGTTCCGGGTAAATAATTTTATTTGCAGCTCCGCCTTGGATTGTGTACCGCTCACAGAAATATTAATGGCAAGATTTTATTATTCACAGAGGGATACTTGACATCATGTACATTTGACTATTTGACGGATACATTCGATAACAAACTTTTCGTCGCCGTTCTCTTTACGTTCGCTTACTGCATTCCAATGTCGTTGATTATTTACTACTACAGTCAGATTGTCAAGCACGTTTTTAGCCATGAAAAACAGTTGAGAGCTCAGGCGAAGAAAATGAACGTTGAATCGTTGCGATCAAATCAAAAAGGTGCTGGAAATGTCTCGGCTGAGGTGCGCATTGCTAAAGCAGCCATCACGATTTGCTTCTTGTTTGTGGCATGTAAGCAATAGATACGGTTTTTGATTAGCATCAAATATGTGTACATTTCTTTAGAACAAAAAACAAACACACGAAAAAAAATGATAGGAAAAACTCATTGAATATTTTCTTTTACATTGAAAAGCATGGACGCCTTATGGAACAATGGCACTAATCGGGAGCTTTGGAAATAAAGTGAGTAGTTCAACCATTCATACTTGAGTTTAAATCTATTAAACTAGTTTATTGCAATGAACTCTAACAATTTCATTGATAAATGGTCACGAAATAAGTCTGAAAAAAATTCAATTCGCATTACAAAATAAACTTTGATCCTAGGCTCTACTTACTCCAGGAGTCACGATGATACCAGCTTGTACATGTAAATTCGTGGCATGTTTGGATCCCTATGTCTATGCCATCAGTCATCCGAGATACAGGTGAGCCTGATTACGTTTAAGTGAATGTGTGTGTATATGTGATGTTGACCAAACAATGTTATCTCATTTCAGAATCGAGCTGCAAAAGCGTTTGCCATGGTTGGCGATCTCCGAGAAAGAGGAGAAAGTCGCCGATGGTGTATCAGTAACCACACAAGAAGGAACTGTAACGCAACAGGCTACCGCATAAATTATCATAAAATACTGGACTTGAACACGGCTTACGAAACTGGATAACTGAATCTCTGAATTATGTCAACCAAAAACCTCAATATTTCTAAATTCCAAAGCAATAATGTCATTCACATTTTAGTTCATGTTCATTTTCATTAACTCATTTTCGATTTCAATTTGAATAAAGTCGTATTTTCCCAGCAAGAAAAATGAAAAAAAAAAATTTCTTTGTGAATAGTTCAATTAATTAGGTCAATCGATTCTCTGAACAACAATTAAATTTTCACTCGATTGACATTTAAGTACCTACTTCAAAACTAAAGATCAAAAAATCATTTTTAATGAAAACCTCACGCAATGGAATCTATGTTGGGCTGCCTTTCAAGAAGGCTCAACATTTTTTTCAAACAATATTTTCGCTTCCGGAATGTATTGCGTTTCAAAATAGCCGTAATGCTTTACTGCTGCCGGAATCGTTTGACTTCATGATATGCGCAGACTCAAAACCAAGGAAAATTCACTCAATGCTTCGATTGAGCAAAAGTTCTACTCATGCTTCCCCATGCATTCGGATCATGTGGTTTAGACCGTTATCAAAACAAGCTGCTATATAGGTTTTGAATACGCATTAGCTGTACTCATTGGCACACTCACTTCACAATCGTATTTTGCTCCTGAAAATTCAACAGTGCTTATGCCATAACGTTCTCGAGTCAGATTGTGTGCGGCGGTGGTGTGGTATGGTGTGTATGTGCTTATACATGTTGCATGTCCTTATGCGTTGGAAATGTGAATATGAGCTTGGCAGGGGCGGTTTGTGGAGTTGGTTGTGTGTTCTCGTTATGGGGCTTTTGTATTTGTGCGAGTGCTGATAAAAATTGAGTAATCGACTCTGTTGTTTCGAGCTCATGCTTTTCGAAATATCAAGTAGCCAAGTCAGTCTGGGCCAAACGGAGTACCAAGTAACACACACAAGCCGTGTTATTCGCTCGCGTTTCCGCGTGATTTAATTTAGTCCCCATACATATAACAATATAATCAAGAATTGCTAGAACAATCGTCAATTTTAAGTCAAACAAATTTGAATGCCATAAACGAATTTTTCGTGTGTCGCACAGCGAAAAGTTGTCTAAATTCCATTTAATTTTCCGCGCCGCTCGCCATAAACTATACAAACGGAAATAAAGTTTTTCCTCTAATTTTCCTTCTGAATTAAGAAAAACAGGCAAAAACGAACCGAACGGATAAGAAGAAGTAAACAAACGGTTGTGCAAGTTAAGAATGGAAGTAATTAACAAATTATTTTTCAATTTCATCGCAGCTGTTGATTTTAAAATGCAAATGTGATTGTGACTGAATGAAGGGCAAATGAAAGGAAATTTTTTTTTTTCATTTTTTTTCTAGTTACGATTTTGACGGTTTATTAGCCAGAAAGTAGCAAAAAAAAATGATGAACGCATTTTATTGGCTCAAATAATAATAAAACTTAAATTGAAAATCTCATGCAAAATTTGAATGAAAAAAAAAATCGATTTGATTTGTTGGAATTTCTCTGACTGCCTCAGCAAAATAATAACAGTAAAAATGAGTGTTTGTGGTGAAATAAAAAAAAACAAGCAGTGTATTTGCGCATTTTCCGAGTGGATTCCTTTTGTAACTGAAGTTCTGTAATAGGATTTTTATAGCAACAGGCATTTTGCGAACCACATAATTTCCGTATGGAAATAATGCGTGGTGAAAGAAAGAGTGCAATAAAATCCTCTTTTCACGCTAAATATCAATAATCGGTTTGAAGCTTGATTGCACGTTCAGTATAGACGAGGGCAAAAATTTTGTGCATGAATTCAGTCGTTTGGAATCGTTGGTTCGAAACTATGGCATAATCGAGTGTGTATGTGTTTCATATCAGCTGTCAAGTGTTTATGCATGTGTTGTTGAATTCACTCAACGGAGAGGAAAAAAAGAACACAACAGAGTGTATAAATTTAAATGAACTGTGAAATGTGTTTGATAAAGGGCAAAGTGTGCTAATATGCACTTATAATGACAAAAGTTGTATAAAAACGAGTGTGTAGACAAAGTCAACGGTAATACATCAACCGTTCAAGTGGTTGCCCATCGACAAAAATGACGTGAACATCGATCCAAATTTAAGCACACAACAGAAAATCAATCACTTCAGATAAAGAAAATCTTCGAATAGAGAAAGACGAAACATTTGGAGAAAAACAAATCGACTGATTCACATCGACAGCCAAACACGAAAAATCAAGCAAAATGGATACAAATTGGATACAATACATTTTAGTGCTAGTAACTGTTTTCCATTCCATTCGTAAGTTGCATACACGTTTTTGTTTAGTTATTTGCCATTTGATTCCGTTATTCAAATAGCGGTTGGTTGTTCTCCCAAAAGCTGAGTGTGCTTTCGTTGACGCTTGGTGCATTCCTCGTCTCTCGATTTATTATATTTTCGGGATTCACTGTTCCGAATAAATTATGTGTTTATAACATTTGACTCATGAACCGTTTATCAAGAGGAAAAACTTGTTGCTCGATACAAACACCATATTTATACGTAAGTTGATGGAATGAAGTGACGTTTTTGGTTCTCAAACTCTGAGGTTTTTCCAATTTCCAGTATTGTTGTGTATATCGAATCAATTTTTCACCGCAAATGCATTATTTGACATCAACATCGCTCGGATCGTTGGCATATAAATCAATACATGATATTCGCTTGAGGTTAGTCGGTCACTGAATGAGAAATCGGTTAAATGCCACATCTGTTCTGGTTTTGCTCAAACCAAAATGTCATTCACTCTGTGATATTAATGATTAAATGCTTTCCATACACACACAAACACAGCACATGTTATTCCCATAATATGCTAGATAATATGTGTGAGTTCCCAGGCTCAGTGTCTCAAAAGACTTAATCAATATTTGGAACGAAATATGATTATAGCGCATTAAATGAACGAAAGAGCGAGAGCTGATGTCGTTTTCTAATTTACGGTGATCCAATAAAATAAATTGGTATAATCAAATGTCAATAGCTCTATTTTTTATCTATTCCAACTTCTAATTCGATAGAATTGTTTTTTTTTTCTTTTCGTTTTACGGTGTGTATGTGGGTGTAATTTTGTTATTTTTTCTTCGGTTGGAGTTGGAGAAGAGATTCCATTCAGTGTGTTAAGAAATGGTAAATGGATTCATTGATGCGAACGCAGTATTGGGCTTGTTAAACAGCATGAAAGTGTGGCTTTCACACCCATCACCTCCTAGCCAGGTAGATCAAAGATAATTCGGTTAAACAAATTTCGGCATTAAAAACGAAAAGCACTCCGCCACCGAAAAAAGACGAGAGCAGTAAATTTCGTGATGTTCATTCCATTTTCCATAGTGTTTGTTGCTGTTGTTTCTTCGTTTTTTTTTTCTATTTTTACAAATAATCCGGTAGAAGACAGTAGCAAGACGAAGAAAAGGTATTGTGTGTGTGTGTATTTTAAGGCAACGGTAGTGCGAGTGCGTCGTCAAACAATAAAAATGAAAATAAATACACGAACGACCGAAAAACCGAAGCTCACCACACCTAAACAAGATTGGAAACGGTTTTCCGTTTTTTTTTTTCGTCGTTGTTCTTTCTCTCGACTCGTTTTTTTCCCTATCAAAATTGCTTCAATATTGAAGCACGGCGGACACGCACATTTTGGGGACGCAAATCCATAAATATCACTCTCTGATTGGATTTTTCCATCAAAAGAATGCATAAAATGAAATCAAAAGAAAAAAGGAAAATGCCTCCCGTACTGATAGTAAAAGATCCAATAAAAGAGATAATCAACCGAAAAAAATGCATAAAAATTGAATTCAACAGAGGCATTTTGAGCGAAGTGAGGCAACGTTTTTGTTGTCATTTCCGCACAACAGTGGTGCGAGCGAGAAATTCGTATTGTGCGGCGATAGAGAAAGAGGGAGAGAGAGTGGAAGACAGCGTATTGCAAATAAAATACTCGTTCTTTTTTCGTAGAAAACGATGTTTTGCACGCAATATCTTCTACATAAAACGGGTAAAATTAGCCCCGGAAGAAAACGAAGACGAAACAGCGCGGAACAAGTATGTAATCATCGTCCTCGAAAGGAGGCATTTATTAAACTGTGAGCCTATTGAAATATACATTCTAATCTAAATATGCAACCATTAAAACGAAAAATCTTATTTTATTGAAGCAAAACATTGCACGGCTCAATATAAACATTGACGTCAATGAAAAAATGAGCACGATTTGAACGGAAAAAAATGTTTTATAGATTTTCAATAATAACTTAATTTTTTTCTCTTCTTCTTCTTCTTCTCTGTTCCATTTAATGCACAAAATGAATCATTTATTCGATTTATGTACTTGATTCGATCATCTCGTTCGCATAAAAGCAAACACAATTGCCTTGTTATAATAAACGAAGTGCAAGGAAAATATATAAGCACGTGCCTTATCTAACATTCGTAAAAATCCAGCCATGAGCTCAATGTTAAAGAAAAAGATTTTTGTTGAACGAAAAAGTGAAAGCAACAACAACAACGATAAAAAATGAGGACAACGGCAATTTTGCCTCACGTTTCAAAATTTACATCATTTACAATATTTATGAGTCTAGCTTACTCTCTCCCGAAGCTATGCTCAGCGCGCCAAAGCTAACCAAATGATGGAAAAAAAGCGGCAGCGAATAGGGAAGAAAAAAAGAAAACCGAATTTTCTTCCAAACATGAAATGGTTTTTGTTTAATGTTCTCTACGTCGTCGTCGTTGTCGTCATCGTCATTGTTGTTTTAAGAAAAATGCGACGAATTCCAACAGCTCAACGCACAAATAACACATTAGTGTGGAGAGAGCGAGGCAGTTCGTTCCTTCCCGATGCTCTCTGCAGCTAATATCGAAAGGCGCTGCGCGTTCCAATCCATCAGACAAAAACAAACCAGTGGCATCATCAAAATTGTATGTGTGTGGAACGGTGAAAACTCAACGGAAAAATGTGCAAGCTTTAAAAAGACAACGAACAACATTGCCTGAAAAATAGGGTGAAAGCGAATTGAGTAGACACTCACACGTACGATGAAGAGCAAGAAAAAGCATCCACTCAAAAAATTCGAGTGAGCAAAAGCAAGCAGAAGAAAAAAACGAAATTCATTTGTAAACATAAAAATAAATTGTCGTTAAAAAGGAGGAAGAATGGATAAAAGCCCTTTGCTACATCTATTTACTCCATTCACTTCATGGCCCATGTGATTGACAAACGAACGCAAAACTATCGTTTGCCACAGGATGCAGCTATTTGATCCCGTTGTGTTTCAAAAAGCGTCGTCTGTGTATACACCGTGTCTCAAAGGGGGAAAAAGAATGAAGATACATACATCACAGCGGCTTAAATTGTTTACGACGTGAAAATATTCGCGCGACTTTTTATATTTACGCGGATATAAATTCACGGCGCAAAGGTGTATAAAAAAGAGGTGTGTGCATGTGAGGTAAAAGCACTTGGAAGCAGTTGATACAAAATGAATACGAATCAAATGGTTAACAAAGCAGACAGAGAGCCGTACACGCGCTTTTTTACACATCGTCTGCATAAAAGGCAATGCGTGAATTCAACGAATCCGTACTACGTGCCTCTCAACTCTTTCTATCCCGGTATAGACAAAAATAGTACACATTTTTTTTTCTTCTGCTGGGTGACTGATATTTGTCATCAAGTATGTATAAATTGCAGCCGGGCATATTTTTTTTATCTGCGTGATTCCCTTTCAACCATTACACAGACGACAAACATTCTCGCTTTGAGCAATAAAAATGACATTCAAGACGAGACTGTAAAAGAGAGAAAAAACTAACATTTTACACTTTTTTTTCACGCCATGACAATTGGTATTTGAGCGTTGAGCAGTGTGTGCGTGTGCAAATTCCATATCCGCTTCACCGAAATGCGTTTCTCTCAGCATTGGCAAACGCATTATTAACCAGAGACAAGTCCATAAACCGTGAAAAAGTAGCATTTTGGTTTTTCGTTCATCTTTCCCATATTTCCCATTCCCTTTCATTCATTTTATATATTTTTTCGGAATGTATGCCAAAGGAGAGAGACGCAGAGAAAATGAAAGTTGTGTGGCAGCAGCTGTGCAGCATTTTTGCGGTTTAAACTGGTGTTTATAGTACCGCAATCAGCTTTTATTACGCGATTCAAAATGAAGAAAAACGATCTCCGGGGTAGCCAATTTCTCCAGAAAAAAACTTTTCCGCTCTCTCGTCGTACTTTGTAATGCCGCAGAGACCAAGAAATTGATTTGGTATTTTCAGCGCCCACGAAATCTATTCTCCGAATCCAACCGAAAATTACAAAGCGAGAACAAGAGCACCGAGCACAAAAACAAAGAAAAATGCCACACAAAAGCGATTTCGAACCGAGATAAAACTAAATTCGGATAATTGGTTTTCCGTCATGGAATATTGCTATCGTGTTCGCTTCACGTCACCGTTACCACTAACACCGTCGCTGTCGACCGCAAGACACGTCAACTGAACCGAACAAAACCAAACTAAATAAACACAAAATTCCGCAAATAAATTACGAAATTAAGTGTAAAAGTATTAATTTAGTCATTTTGTGGAGTGAAAATGAAGGACGCAGGAATAGAGAGCGTCTAGTTAAGCATACGGCAAAATATGCTCGTATACGAATTATGAGATAGAGTGAGTGTATGTGTGAAAAGCCACCATAATACCACACTGAATGTAAAAAAATAGCGATGACCATCACTTCGTAATTATACGATAATATTGATGTAATTAAGTTAACTGTGTGCATGTAAAAATATCTCTCGATACATGGGCTGGTGGTGATGATGGTGATTGAGGCTGATGTTCGTTCTGAGCCTGTGTGAAAATATACATATGTGAATTATCATCGTTAGTAAAATGTCGAGCACATCCGTCAAAATTCATTTAAGTTCATTAATCAAATTAAAGAAAAACCAGCCACTATATTTAGAGAGAAGAGAGTAAGAGAGCAATCATATATGCAAATGGAAGTTGTTGGTCAAAAATAACTGTGATTATGCTAAAAAAAAAAACTGGGCCCATTTTTTTGGCCTCAAATTATTTAATAGAGGCAGTCCCAATTCTTATAGAGATAGAGATAGTAAATTCCCCGTGGCCAGGAAATGATGATGATTGATGCCGTTGCGTATCGAACAAATTCATTACTCTAATACATGTTATAAATCATAAAACTCATAAGCTTTGTTGCATACTTCGGCTTATGATTTAGCTGATGGTGGACA